TCTGTTGCAGTAAGAGAGAGGATGCATTGGAAGAGGGGAGGAGCATTTCAATATGGTCATTGATGTTCTAGGAATGGGGAAGGAGCAAGAAAGGAGTTGATCATCCGTAAATTCAGGATGTAATGTTTTCCTCTGCCTCCACAATGCTCTACCTCCCTAGGACTGGCACTTCCTTAGCTTCTTTAATTTCTCTGGAGCTAACCCTTTCCCCCCTAGTGAGTGTATGAAAAAAGTTACTTAGCGGGTTAACCACTTGTGCCTTCAACTAATCCTTGGTTCAGTACCACACTTTATTTCTGCTTGATTGATACATAGAGTGTTTATTCCCCGAGCCTCTTGGGACTTCCGTGGGTCACTAAATAGCTGAGTTCCCCTCCGTGGTCACCAAGTGCTCAGCTTCCATTCCTCTGCTCTTCCAAGTCTGATATTAATCCAGGGTCTGCTTTTTATCTTGCAGCACATTTTGAAATTCCTTTTCCATTGTCTTCTCCCCTGGTCCCCAGCTGTCTTTGTCATTGTTGCCTATATTCCTTTTGTATCCCTGTTTTTATTTCCTTATAGGTAAAAGGGGAGACTTGGTATATAAGAGAGAGAAAAAATTGTGTTGACCCAGCCTTATTCACTGACTACTTCCCAAGAACAGAATATTCTTCCCAGCAGCTTCAGCCAGCCTTCTCTCTTAAATTGAAAGTTTGTTTTTCCCCCCTTCAACCCTTTGGGGTATTCTCACATACACAAAGGTCTTCTGAGAAAGAACTAGAAAGGAAACCTTGGAGTATTTTACTACATTAACTAACTCTGTCTTTAAGCCTGGCTCTGGGACTTGGAAAACATGAAGCTTTTCATTTCTTTACATTTTTTCATATGTATCTGAGATGTGTACACTTTTATTTATTAACATTTTTGATCCTTATTATCATTTGATTCAAAAATACCCTTCACAAATATCCTTCTAAATAGGTAAATAATTAGAAGTGTTGAGTCTTACATAAGAGGTGGGCCGGGAAGGAGGGGTGCAGTTAAGAGATGAACAGGAAACATGAACAAATATCAAAATTAGTTATGCAAAACTCTAATAGATCTTCCCATAGTAACGTCTCAAAATTTTTCTGAGTGCAAATGCAAATCCAGGGTAAATACAAATTCAGGAAAAGGGCTTCAACTTAGATACATTTCAGAAAGACCTTCCTACGGAAGCAGTTATTTGAACTGAATTTACACAGACAATAAAAGCAGAAGTTACAAATGCCTTGCATTTCTGGGGGCGATCTTAGCATGATCAGGGAAGCAGAAGGCCGGCAGACCTAAAATACCAGACAGGGAGCGAGTTTTCAGGTGACATTTGTGATCAGAAATGCCAGCAATGGCCAAATTAAGTTGATTCTTGTATACCTGGCTAAAGATCTTAGGTTGTATTCTGAATCCAATGGGAAACCACTGGAGGATTTCAAGCAAGGAAGTAACAGAATGGCTCTATATTTTAGAGTGAGTTCTCTGAGGGAGGGTGCAGTGTAAGAGTAGATAGGAGGAATAAGCTCAAGATGAGAAACAGTTGCTATAATTTTAGTGAGTGATGAAAGTGGTTTAGATTGGAGAGTAGTGAAAGAGATAGGCAGAGGTTAGGTAGATTTGTAATATGCTGAGGTAGTTTTAACTCACGGGACTGCTCAGTAGATTATGTGTGTGAGGAGTGAAGTTGGATGTGACCCTAGATCTATTTGGTAAGGATATTGACTGGTTCCAAAATTAGTGAACTACTATGATTCTAAACTCTAAGGTTGAATAAATGTCCTCTGGAATTCATGTTGTGGGCATTTCCTGACAATCATACTCTCATCTGTAAGAACAAATAGAAACAATCATTTTATTGATGATTTCATCCGGTTTCCCAGTTTTGTACTTTTGAAATATCATCTATATAGCAAATGACTCCCATATCAAAGGGACCTCCTCTTTGATCTTCAGACTCATTGTCTCTGTTTCTCACTTCTCATTAAAAGCAGTGTATCTAGTCTGAGACATAGCTCAGCAGTTGAGAGTACTTGCTGCTCTTCCAGAGGACCTGAGTTTGTTTATCAACATTCATGTTGGAGAGGTCACAGCTGCTTATAGCTCTAGTTCCAGAGAATCTGATGCCCTCTTTTGGCATCCATGGATACACATACATGTGTTACACCATCACACAGGCACACACATACACACATGCACATAAATAAAAGAAGTTAAAAAAATCTTCTCTAAAAGCAGCATATCTAAAACTAAACTCTGGGTCTTGCCTCCCTCTTGTAGCCCTGTCTAGCCAGTTGCTCAATCAGAAGGCTTCAAATAATCTTCAAACCTACCTCCCCATCACTATAGTGTATGTGTGTGTTTGTGTGTATACTCTCAAATATTATGTGGGTGTATGTGCGTGTATGTAGTCTTTCAGGAAGCCTACATTCAAAATGCATTCAGAATTGACAGTTCCTCACTGTTACCACCTTTGTCTAAACCACCATCATACCTATCTGGACTACTTGAAAGAGATCACTAACTACTCCTGCCACTTCTATGGTGCCCCCCAGTGTTTCATTCATATCAGTTAGACTATTAGAATAAGCTTTGAATATATGTTACGGCCTATTTTAGTCTTGTTAGGCTGCTACACAAATACACCATAGACTAAAACTACTTTTTACAATTCTGGCAGGTGAGAAATTAAAAGAAAAGAAAAGAAAAGAAAAGAAAAATGCTAACACATTGAATGTCTGGTTGAGAGCCCTAGCCTGCTTTTTGAATGGCTCCTTCATGCTGTGCCCACACATGGCAGGAGCAAGGAAGTTCTCTGTGGTTTCTTCCCTTCTATCCTATTTTATTATCTATTTCTGGTAGTTCGAGACAGGGTGTTACTATGTAGCCCGAGATTGCCTCAAACTCCAAACTCTATCACCATTATTTCCCTTTTGAGTGCTGAAATAACAGACATGCTGCTGTGACATGCCCTGGTAGATTGATTTCAGGAAGGCTTTGCCCTATGATCTATACACATCTCACTTCCTAATGTCATCACCTTGATGCTTAAGTTTCAGAGTACAAATTTGGAAAGGACCTGATCATTCAGAAAATTGCAGGTCCTGTAAGTAACTTTTTTGTAGAATATACTCCAGTAGCTCCTGTATTTCCTCAGAATAAAAGTCAAAGATTCTGTATGTTCTCCTTCTCTGACCTCCGGTCCCACTCAGAATATTAAGAAATGTATTCTTTAAGACTCTGTGCTAATGGAACACTTCTCACCAAACATCTTTAGTTGAGTTTTAGTTGTTCCCCAGAAACGTACACAAACAAAAGACATAATGGTCTCACATTTCGACTATAACTATGCTCATAAACAGAAGATGTCCTTTAAAAGAGTTGAACTGATGAGTGAGCCAAAATTCAAAGGATAAACAGTGGTAAGGGGCAACATATTGGAGTTTTATCCCAGAATTCTTGGCCAAAGAAAATGTACACAAAAGAATTACAGAATTCCATTTCCTGTATTCTGATAACTCTGTTTATTCCACTCTGTTTAGATGGATGAAATCTATGTTACTCCAGTTTATGATCTTTTGGGTTTTGTGAATTTTTATGAATTTGCAAATACTAGCTATTATTTTCTTAACACTTTGGAAAGAAAAGAGAAATATCTTTTGACTAATTGTGCACATGTATTTTAAGGCTGGAATCCTGGAGCAGGGTGCTTGGAATAATATCTTTTTGATACCTTTATAATTTCCCTAAATATTGGTATAAGGAGATGAATTTGCCTGAAAATTTGTTAGGATGTGGCCAAATTCAGGAAAAATGGCTTGAGGTATTACATCAAGAAGTAGTTACTATTTGAGTCATTACAACAATTATGTTGAAATTATCCTCTCAGTGATCACAATTCTGTTATGTAAAGTTGAGGATGAATTTAAACCAATATCCATAATTTAAGATTCATTAGTTTTGACATAACTTTTATGGTGTAGGATAATCATTTGTTATTCTTTGTTCCAAGTGAAAATTGGCTTGGTTTATTTTTTCTGATTATAAATTCAAATCATTTCAGATGATAAGAGATTAGTCACAATAAGGTCAAATAATCATTTGACTTTCTAGAGATGGTTTTCTTATTATATAAGTGTATTGTTACCATTTTCTATTGTTTTATATAAATATAAATATAAACCAAAAGCAGATTCAGAGCTGGACATATGGGGCTAGAGAAATGGCTAAGTGATTGAAAGTGTATATGCAGCATTCTTGCAACTGAGTTTGCTTCCCAGCATCCACATCAGACGGGTCACAACTGCCTATAACTTCAGCTCTATGGGATCTCACACCCTATTCTGGACTTCATGGACATGGCACTCACATGCACATACCCATACACAGACTTGCACACACCCATACATAATTAAAAGTAATAAAAACAAAACAAAAATCATAAAAACTGTACGTACTATTTTATAACCTTCTTTACACTCTATGTCAAGAACATATTTCTGTCACTTCTAATATGGATCTAAATGACCTCTTTTAATGGCTACATAATAGTAATAAAGATGCCTTTTACTTTTCTTAAAAATATACTAGTAGACAAAATTAATCCAGGCTTGTCTTAAACATTTAAATGGTATATAATTTAAGAACAACAAGAGCACTTTATTTTGTTGGCATATATCAACCACTAAAATAAAAAGGCCTTCAAATATTCTGAACAAAAGGTAGTGGTGGTCTTAGCTACCAAATTTTGTTTGGTAAGCACATAAGATGTTTATTGAACTTCTGCCAACCACTACCACTGAAAAATTAGATAGGTGAGATTTCTGCTTTCAAACTTCTATTCTGAGAGGGTCAGAAGTAGATAATCAACTAATAAGCAATGATGATAACATCAGCTACTGAAGCGTACATGATAATATGTTTTAAGGTACAATATAAGCTGGAATTGTGGTTCTAAATTCTGCAGATTGAGTCAAATTATATGCTTTCAGATTTGAAGACAAAGAACAACAAATAAATTACGAGTTATTTTTCTCTATCCTGAACTGGAGAATGAATCCAACACCTGAACTGCAATCCCCACCATACCTTAAAGAGGTAAATTTTATGCTTATTTTAGAAATAAGCTAGGGATACCTCCCTTATATTTTTAACATGTTATATCTTTAAATTATTTTCCAATAGATTGTAGCAATATCATTGCTTTTGGAAAGAGTATATTCTGGGTATTTCTGTTGAAGGCTAATTCACTTTCCATGCTGAGCAAACATCTGCTCTAGAAGAACAGGACTTTTCTTTTGCAGTTGAATAGTTTTTAGCCTCAGTTGCATCCAATTATATAGAAAATAGGATAATAGGTTACAGTTATAAATAGATATAAACACCCTTATCATGGGATTCTGGTAATATCATCCTAATCCATACTGGCAAATCTTAGATGGTATCTATGTCAAGAACCCTCAGTATATCTGTGGCTTTGTGTGCAGGTTTACCATGTGTGAAAAAATAGTGTATAGAGATTCATTTTATGGTGGAACCAATTTGAAAGGAAAAATTCAATAGAAAAATGCTTGGTTAGGAGAAACAAAGTTCGTGTGCTCAGATGGGGGCCTCAGCATTGTGGAATTATCTGCATTCTCTAAGATCACCTCAGTTGTTTTTAAGGAGTGGGTGGGTGGGTGGTAGCTCGTAACATGCTCCAGAAATTTATTTTCTTGGGAAAGCCCCTTGATAAAGCAAATGTCATGTGGTTGATAATCCCAGAAAAGAAGGATTTATTCTGTCTCTGCTGACCAGCGCATTCTGGCCTGAGCTTGCCTCGTGCCTCTGGCAGTAGACCTCTCAAGCACACAGCTTCTCTGGAGCGTCAGAGAAAACCTTAGAACTTCCAGTTGGTTGAGGGACAGTATTGGCCATTGTGGTCAACAGAGGTGGTATTGAAATCTGGTTCTTCCACTTACTTATCTGAATGGCATCAGGTGAATTAAGTTTCAAACCTCATTCACTCATAGACATAACCTTCAGATAAATGAAGGTTAAGGATCCATTCTCAGCATGTTCTCTGCTTTGTGCTGGCATTCAAGGATAACTGCTTCCTTTGAAGGAGCCTATTCCTGATGTGGAATCAGTACACTCATTATTTGGGGTTTGATTTGATACATACAGCTTGCATAGGATACTGTGAAACGAAAATAGCTAGTTCTAAATCAGGAAGAGGAATATCGCATAGTCTTGGGAAGGTCTCATTTGATATTTCAGAGATGAATAGTGAGAGTTAGTAAAGTAGGAAAGTAATATGATATGGTGGTATGGCAAAGACATTACTAACAGTGCTCTGGGACATGGGGCAGCTTGGCACTGGAGGAATTGCTGTGGCTGGAGTAAAGGCCCATGGGGAAGAGTGGAGAAGGATAAGGTTGGAGGTGACTACAAGGGTGGGTGAGGTTTGAATATTATTCTGGAATAACTGGAGGCCACTAATAAATATTTTTACTTCTGTTTTTAAAAATATTTTAATTGCACTCATTTATGCAATATGGTATGGTAATTTGATATATGTGTACAGTAATTGAATAATGACAATTAGTATTTCCAATACAAGCATTAAATCAAGAAGAAAAAAAATCAGGCTGCCATGCAACCCAAGCTCAATATGAATCTGAGAATGGCCTTGAACTCCTGATCTTCCTGCTTCCACCTCCCAAGTGCTGGGATTATAGTCATGCACCACCACACACACTTAGCTCACTAAATTTTTCTTAACTATATGTTACTTTTTTCGGTACCTGGGATCAAACCCAGGGCTGGAGATTGAGTTCAAGTCCTCAATCATGCTAGGCAAGCACTAAGCTATATTTCTAGCTACATTTAAAACTTATTTTAAGATGTACTATTAAAAAATTATAAGTAAGAAAACAGCGTGATCAGGTGTGCCCCTTTCATGGAGCTAGGGGTGGAGACAGGCAAACCAACTGTGAAGTTCTTTGATGTCCCATCCCCAGGTAGGTCCACTAGGAAGCTCTTGTTGTCCCATTACTATATACCAACTACTAGTCTGAGATCTCAAAACCTCTTAGCTTGTCTATTCCTTCTAGAAACTTGAGGAGGTAGTACTTTCATTCCTATTTCAGAGATGAGGAAGTTTGTAAACAGCAAATATATGGTAAAGCCATAATTTTAATTTAGATCTGTTCTACTGCAAAGAATAAATGTGAAAAATATTGGCTGAGGGTATAGCACAGTGACAGAATATGTGTTGAGAAATCACAAGGTGCTGAGTTTGTTCCCTAGTGTCTTTTACTTGTGGCCACATCCCATAAAAAGAAAATTTGTCTTTTTAATATAAGTATTGTTAGAGATACTGTAATAAGTCAACCAGTCTAAGGAAATCAGTACTGTCATTTGCCCTGGTAACCTGGAACAATGAGGGGTGTGGTCAGTATTCTACCTTTCCATAAAATATTTTCCTATTCTGTGTTGGCTATCATGCATTTGTCTCACTAAGACAGCTTCCATTATTCTGAGCCTACTCGGTCATCCCTGGGCCTGACCTTTCTAGGCTGTATCCATTGGTCCCCTTGCCCTTAAGCACCTTCAGTTGTATAGCCAGAGGGATGCACTGGCAAGGAAGGGAAGGGTGAGAGGTGGGGAAATCATCTCCCTCCCTGCCAATCACATCCTCTAGATGCATAGCACCTTCTCAGAGGTTATAATATAACTGCCCACTCCTGGTTGCAGTAACTGCTCTTGCATGCTTCTTCAGACCCAGTGGGTTGCACTGGTCCCTTGCTATTAACACTCTATGGAAACTGGAAGATTTCCTGTTTGGTTTTTTTTTCAGGGGGAAGGGGGAATGGGAGTTGCTAAATCTATCCCACAATTGTAAATAGTCAATCCCCCATACCCACAGATTCTACATCTGTAGCCTCAACCAATTACACCTGAAAAAACAATAAAGAAAAAAATAGTGTCTACACTGAACATTAGCAAATAATTTTCCCTTGTCAGTTTTTTCTAAATGTAATGCAATTGTTTTTCATAGCATTTACATTTGATTAAGGATAAGGTATCTAAGTATATGGGAGGGAGCTGGACAGATGGCTTAGCAGTTAAGCTCACTTGTAGCTCTTGCAGTGGACCTAGGTTTGGTTCTCAGCATTCAGCTGGTAGTTCACAACCATCTGTAACTTCAGTTCTCTGCTGACATCCCTGGGTACCACGCCCACATGTGGTACACATACATGCATATACACAGGCAAAACACCCATACATATAAAAATAAATAATTTTTTTTAAATCTTGAAAGTGTGTGGAAGTGTGTGTGTAGGTTCTATGTAAATACCATGCCACTCTATGTATAAGGGACTTAGGCATTCATGGATTTCTGTATTATGGGTGGTGTATCCTGTAACCCATCTACTTTAGATACTGAAGGATGAAGTAGTCACTTTATTGGATTATTTGCCACTTACTTTGGTTGTGCAAATATTCTTTTTCCTAAGGACTTCTGAATGGTATGTGTCCCTATTTTTCCTGATTGACAACAAGTTTTCTTGTTCTTTTCCTTACTGTCTACTCTTCTTCTTTTCCTTCCTCCTTCCAGTCTGCCACCCAATCAACTGTGTTAGGTATTTTATAATTGATAATTCAGAAATGTGGTCATACCACATGTATTTATTTATCTGCAGTGCTTTTCCTACTTAATCATGGAGAATTACTCCAGTTAAGTATGGATGGACCTAAGTCATTCTTTAATAGGTATGGTGTACATATGTAACAATTTATTCAATCATTTCCCTGTTTATAGGCATACAGATTGTTTCTACACATTTTTTTTTTGCCTCTGAAAATGTGATATCTTGTTACCTTTAATTTTTATTTTCCTGATGATTATTAAGCTGGGATATAATTTAATCACCTTTTGTGCTATAATCCAGTTAGAAAGACATTTTTTTCCACAACAACTCAGCATGCACATTATAATGGAACAAAAGTTTCATGGAATAATACTATTTTAACTACATATGGTGCATCATCTTTTCCTTTCTTATTTTTCTCCTTTCCCTCTTTCTTTTTCCTTTTCTCTTCTCCCTCCCCCATCTCTTTTTTCTCCTGTTTGAATGTTGTTCCTGAGTCATTAAATTGATTTCATCCCCCACAGGAGGACCACCACCCTGTATGGGAAGGACAAAAATGTGTTGGCTCCTAGTTATGCTCCCATGATGTCATCACTTACAAGCTCTGTCACCTGGCACTGTTTCTGAGCCCTGGATCTAAAGGGCTTTAAATAGGATAGAAAGTATGATGCCATAGACTTGAGTTCAAATTTTTGTTCCACCATCATCTGAGTGACTGTGTACAAGTTTCTCAACCTTTTTTCCATTTCAAAAAAAAAAAAAAGAGATAAAAGTATTCCTTCCATTAAGGTTGTTGTGAGGATTATGTGGATATACATTGGGTGCTTGCAACATTAGTGAGAGCTTAAATGTTAGATGTTCCTATTGTTTATAAAATGGGGACTGTGGACAGCTGTGGAACTTGCATGGGACTGGACTAGGCCCTCTGCATACAGGAGACAGTTGTGTAGCTTGATCTGTTTGAGGGGTCCCAGGCAGTGGGATCAGGATCTATTCCTGGTATATGAGCTGGCTTTCTAGAGTCCATTATGGTAGGACACCTTGCTCACCCTTGATGCAGGAGGGGGTGGGGGACTTGGTCCTGCCTCAACTGAATGTCCCAGGCTTTTACTGACTCCCCATGGCAGGCCTTTTGGAGGAGGGGATGAGATTAGGTTGGGGCAGGGGAGGCTGGAGGATAGTGGGAGGAGAGATGAGAGGGGGATCTGTGGTTGGTATATAAAATGAATAATTTTTTTTAAAAAATAAAAAAGTAAAAAAACAAAACAAAATAAAATAAAATGGAGGTTGTATCCCAATTGAGTTTGAAGTGATGAGGTTTAAGTCAAGTAATGGTAGGCTGAGCACTTGTATGGAAATAGGGTCTGGGTGGACTCCTGGAGTCAGGAAACTGCTCACTTCCTCTAGTATATGAGCTGGGCAGTTAGCTGGCTTTTGCTAACTTCCAGAGAATGATGTGGA